ATGCTACTTAATTAGGATAAACAGTAGCAAGAATAGCGCGCCATTGTTTCCTGCTGAAAAAAAAGTAAGGGAAGCTGCTTTGTGAAATCTTATGTCTGGAACACAGTAACAGATGGGGTCCATGAACAGTACTGTTTTTATTTTTAATTCAAACATGTAAAAGCTGCGTTTGTTTAAAATGCAGCCGCAGTCACCTAAACAAACGCTTTAACAATTATAATATCTCGTTTGGTAATAAAATTAAATGTAATTTTTACACATGTCCCTATCATTATTTACGTTGAAAACTCTAATTTGTTGAAGTAGAAATTGCATGCTGCTCGTTGTATTCTTGTAACACAACCTCTCTCCCACGCATTAGAGAGTGAATTAATTAACTCTTTATTGTTGTTTACTAAGGTGAATAGTAGAGATATTTTTTACTGTTCCGGTTGGACTGGATGTAATCTAAAACTAAATATATTAAAACAGATCTGATCTAATAAAATAATTTAATTTTATTTTTAATTTTTAATTTTTAATTTTATTTAATTTAAAAATTAGTATTTTTATATGAATAGTGAATATACTCTTCATTATTTCAGCCAAACCAGGTTTGATCTAAAATTAAATGTATTGAACCGGATTCATCCTAGTAAAAAAAATGAATTTTTATTTTTATTTTTAATTATATTTTATTTAAAAAACTAATGTTTTTATATTAACAGTGGAGACACTCTCCACAGTTTTGGTCGGACCGAGTTTGATCCAAAGCTAAATTCATTAAACTGGATTTGATCCTGTAAAAAAAATTTTATTTTTATTTTTATTTTTAATTATATTTTATTTAAAAAATTAGTGCTTAATATTATTTAATGATAATATATAAATTAAATTAAGATCACTTGATTATATAACATTTGTATTAAAAACCATCAATGTTAATACATATATTTTTTAATTATTTTATAATCTTAATTTTAAAAATATTTTTAATTATTTTATAATCTTAATTTTAAAAATATTTTTAATTAAAAATATTAAATATTAAATATTAAATATTTAATTTAAAATTTAATTTTAATATTAAAATAATTTAAACTAAAAATATTTTTTACAGAATAATTTTTTTTATATATTATGACAAAACTTACCACGATAACAATCACACTCTGAAATAAAAGAAATCCACGGTCTGCGCTTGTCAAAGAAAAAAAAACTATAAAATGTCATGTCCTCCCCTTTCCAAATCTCAGTGTCTCTTCCTTGTATTTTACGCTTCAGAGAAAAACTGAAAAAAAAAAAAACCAACACTTCCACAGTACCATCTTCAACTCCCCATCTCTCTCCGACTTGCCATTTTCCCAAAAAATTTACGTTTTTTCATTTCCTCTCTCTCCCTTTTAAACATATCAATAACAAATTAGGAGAGCTGGATCCATCACAGGAACCAGCCCATTCCTTGACATTAAAGCCGCCACCACCCC